AAAAAAATTGGGGCTATTTTTTTTTTTTTTGGCCAGGGCTGGGTTTGAACCCGCCACCTCCAGCATATGGGGCCGGCACCCTACTCCTTTGAGCCACAGGTGCTGCCCCGGGCTATCCTTTTTAACCACAGTGAGGGACTTTTCTGTGCCAGGCATGCATTAGGCCCCAAGGAATTAGTAGTAAGAGGCACTTCCAGGGGCTGCAGAGAGCTCCTGGTTATGAGGAGAGCCAGGCAGGGCACCAGTAAAGTAAGTGAAAATGTGCTTCACAGCTCAGCGGTGCAAAAAACACACATCACTGACTTTTCTAAATCCATTATGTCTAATTCACAGCCCTTCTTCAGGTGCAGAGACTGGTATTAGTTCTTGGGAGGAAGAGGTCTCTGTTTCTCCAGGGTCCCACTGGAGTGCTTGGGGCTTACTCAGTTATAAAGTGTAGGGGCAGGGCCCTGAACTGCAGTCTGGGCCACCTCTGAGATGGTGACAAACTCTGAGCTCCTTCTGGGTGACCCAGCTCTCAGGTGTGCAGCCCTCTGAGACAGCCAGCTAGACAGCTCGGGCTCCTCCCACTCAGACTCATCAGCAGTTTGTCTGCCCTGCTGGGAGTCAGGGTGGGACAGGGGAGTTATAAGAGATGTGGGTTGGAACCTGGACCTTTCAAAACATGATGCGCCCCACCCCCCCGCAAGTGGGATAGGGAAAGAAGGAGTCCATTCATTCAGCAGGTATTACTAAACATATGCAGGTCCCTGTCCTCAGGAGGTTTACACAAGGAGGCAGCTTGGACAAATAGCAGGACAAATAAGAAAAATACCTAGTGTGCTAAACGGTGATGAGAGCAGAGAAGAGGGGTGGGTTTGGCAGGAGTGGGGAATGCAGGTCACTGTGTATATATGGTGGAAAGGAAGATGTCTCCTCTGCACGGGGTGAGAATTCTGGGCAGAAACAGCAGCCTGGGTAAGGACCTTGAGGCAAGAACATTCTGGCCTGGGCCAGATGACTCTCAGGTGACCAGGAAGCTGTAGCAGAGCACTGGAGGCTGCCATGCGTCAGAATGAGATCAGCAAACAGGGCCAGACTCGAGTCAGTGTGGTGGACAGAGCTTGGTGAGCTTTACTCTGGTCAGCACATGGAGGGATATGGTGTGACTGTGCTGATGATGAGTGGAGGACAGTGGCTAGATCCAGACAGCAGTGGAGGTCCTAAGAAGCTGTCGGATCCCAGATAGATTTCAGATATGGGAACCAAGCTCCCATACTCCTTCCACAAATCCACAACCTCCTCTGGCGTCAGTTTCTCCCCAGCTAGCCAGGCCTTCTGCTGCAGCACACTATTTTTGTGCAACTTTCCTGTTTGCACTACTACCTCTTTTTATTAAGTGATGTTAAGCTTTGTTAAAAAGGACCGAGATGGCCAGGCACAGTGGCACACACCTATAATCCTAGCACTCTGGGAAGCCGAGGCAAGTGAATTGCTTGAGCTCAGGAGTTCAAGACCAGCCTGCACAAGAGTGAGACTCCATCCCTACTAAGAAATAGAAAACCTAGCTGGGCATAGTGGCATATAACTATAGTCCCAGCCACTCAGAAGGCTGAGGCAGGGCTCACTTGAGCCCAAGAGTCTGAGGTCGCTGTGAACTATGATGCTACTGCACTCTACCCAGGTGACAGAGTAATACTATCTCAAAAAAAAAAAAGGAAAGAAAAAAGAGGACCAAGAGAATTTGCTGACGAATTAAATGTGGGATATAAGAGGAAGAGGAAAAAATAACTGGAAAAAAGAGGAAGACTTTGCCCTTTGGGCACGAGCAGCTGTAAGAATGGAGACCATGGTTTCCTGAGACAGGAAGCTTTGTGAAGACCAAGTTTGGGGAAAAGCTCAAGAGTCCAGGTTTGACGTATCTGTGACTCCAGGAAAGGAGGCCCTGTGCTCTGGACATTCAGGCCTCAGAGTCCAAGAAGAACTCTGGCTGGAGATGCACATTTGGAAGTCATTAGCAGATAAATGATGTCTGAATTCAGGAGACTGAAGAAATTACCAAGTGACAAGTGGGAGACAGGAGGACCCAGTAAAGCAGACTGAGAGGGGACAGTCTACTGAAAGACAGGGACAGTCAGCAGGTAAGGAGGACACCCCCTGGCTGGCCAATCCCCCGTCAGAGCAGGTAAGGCAGGACTGCCAGGGACCCGTGGGCCTGGCCAGGTGGGGCTCACAAGGAAGCCATGCCAAGAGCAAGCGTCCCTGGGAAGTGGTGGGGGCGAAACTCTGCTTGCAGAGGTCACGGGACAGTAGCAGAAGAGGAAACAGATGCTGAGAGCCCAGATGAGATGTTCAGCAAATTTTGCTTTAAGGGTAAAAGACAGGAAGGACACATAGCTAAAGGGTGGGATGAACTGTGTGTGCGTGAGGCCATCGGCAGTCACTCCAGCAGAGGAGGAACACGCAGGAGCGAGTCCCTGTGTCGGTGTGAGAGGTGATACCGCTTACTGGGGAAGAAACCTTGACGTGGATATGGCCAATCTACTCACAGGCAATTATTTTAAGAAGTAATCTACAAATGGTGAATGATGAATGCCTGGTTGTCTATTACAGCATCATTTATAAAGCAGAAAGCTTTGAAATATGGAAATAGG